AGCCACTGGGAAGAATGATCACTAGGGCCACAGGAGAGGGCGTATCTGAACCAATAGGAAAGGAAAGTAAAGTTAGTCACTGTTGGAATGTCGACCTTCCTTCAGGTCCATCATCATCCCCTTATGGCGCCCTAATATTCATGAGATTGAATGGTACAGTGCTGATCTCCTTTTCCATATCATCGACCAGGAATACCTTATATGAAAGACAGAGTTTACAGCCATGTGACAAGCGTAGCGTGCAGTCTTCTGTTTCCTTCCCACTTAAGTGACACTCACTTATGAACCTTGAAAAAAAGGGTGAGTGATCTCGATCGGGGCTTCAACTCGGGGCCGAAAATCGGTTTTGAGTTCGACATTCTACCGAATAAGCAATCCTGTATGAAGCATTGTGTAGTAAATCCTTTGTTCAAGGGAATTCGGGAAAAAATATAGACTGCCGTCGAGCAGATCGAACTCTGCACCTTCGGTGTTGGAAGCAGACCTCTTACACAACTGTGACAAAACGGCACTAAGGTCTAATTCACTTGAAATGTGAGATTTCTATTTATGATCCGTCACGTAGACGTGATCCATGGATGTTTCAAACATCCTCCACAGATGAACAATACCTGATGTAATGAACGTGAAACGGTCTGATATTCACGAAAGATTATGATACAAACAAGGAAACAAACAATATCAGAAACACAATAGTAAGTTAGAACGATATACGGTCTGAGAGTTAAGAGCTCCTACCTTTACGCATCGCTTCCTGTCGTCGAATAGATTCTTCCTGTTTGCGTAGGTTCTCGTCTTGCATTTTCTGCTTCGTAGCCAGCTCTTCTTGCAACCGTCTCTTTGCCAGCTGATCTTGATAATCTGCCCTCATTTTATATTGTTTACTTTCTTCTGTCAACGTTTTCCTTCTTTCTTCTTCGGCAACACGTCGCTGTTCCAGCTTCATTTGTTCCATGCTAGCTTCGTATTCCTGAAACATAGGAAACGTTAGTACCCTAGCTGGGTGTCTTAGAATTTGATAAATTGTTCTACGACCCAAACGATCACAACTCAGTCACCTGTCAACCCTTTGGCCTTGTTCTTTTTGCATTCGGTCTCCACGTAATATTAGTTATGATCAACTTACATTCAAATTCGCCTTACGTTTCACAGGACAGAGCTTTATTTATGACAATGGACAAAAAATATTCAATTCTTTTTCCAAACTTACTTTAATTTTACTTTTGAACTCCAACTGTTTTGTTTCTTCCTGCATCTGCGCCAGCTGCAACGCCTCCTTTGCGTTATCTGCGAAAAAGCTGGTATATGAAGACACAACGGAAACTGAAACTAGCTAAATCGGCGAAATACATACGAGACTTTTCCAGTTCCCTGGCGGCTTTAGCCGCTCTTTCCAAAGCGGTCGAATCGAACGAGTAAGCCATTCGGCTTCCTTCTGGCTCTGGAGCTTTCGGTGGCCCATCCGGCGGTGACATCCCAGCACCATCCTCCGAACCGGGCGGTGGCGGTGGGGGCATCTGCGGCGGCGCCGCCGGCTTCACTCCAAATAACCAAGACATTTTATGACACGGTTGTCAAAAAAAGCTAAAAATATCAGTGATTATATCAAAAAGCAACATGAGGAAAAAAGTTTTTAAGGGAAGCTATATTCATGATAATGAAGTGATCCCAAAGTTTCCTACGATATCTGCAAAACGACGAAGTTAGGTCCTCACAATGATTCCGATGAGTAACCTGGCAAAATTTTTACAGGGAGCCTGTGCCATCAAGCAAATTTTCAAATCATCAGACTCTTCAACAGTGTCATAAGAGTAAAACCGAATTGTATATCACATTCTGAGTCGGAAGTCCTGTCTCCTTAGTATCTTGATCATTTTTAGGTAAAATTTAAGAACATAGCTGCCAGTGTCAACGAACCTGAAGTCGATTTAAGGTTATCCCAGCTCGAGCAACGGCACTGTACCGTCGTCAGTCAGTTTTAACGTTTTATGGCGG